GGGGGGGGGCAATAAATGAGAAGACATATTTAAAGAAATAGTTTTAAAAGGCAAAAGAAATATAAATAGAACAGAAGAAAAATAAAACCCATAATATCTGGTTAGTGGGGAATAAAAAAAGAGCTAGAGTGAAAAAATAATTAAAAATAAGCAAAAAGAAAAGCAAGGGATGGGAATAACCAAAAGAAAGAAAAAAGATAGGACCAGGAAAAGAGAAGAGAAAAAAAGAACCTTGGAAGGGAAAAAGAAAGAATAAAAAAATAAAAAGAAAAAAAGAATAATTTTTTAAAAATTCTGGGAGGCAGGCAGGACAGGGCCCCCAGGCTCTATCAGAACACAGACTGGGATGGAATTCCTGCCTATCCAAAATGTGGGTGGGGGTGGGGTATGGCTGCACCTCACCAAGAGGATGTGGGGTATTAGAATATCAAGGGGAATATTGCACCTTTCCAGTCATCAGCCTCTAGTATGACTGCCCCTGCTGTCCTCGACAAAAGTTCACTGGTGTCTGAACACTGGTGCTTTAAATATCCAATATGACCACACCACTTGTAAACATCCAAAATGGCTGCACCCTCTGTACAGCCGAAAGAAAACAGCTCAGTTTTTCTCCTTCTTTGGTGTTTCTTTTTTTAGTCATCAGCCACCAGTGCAGTTCTCCATGTAGCTGTTGGTGAGCAGGGCTAATTTTTAATTACTGCTCAGGTCCTAACACCACTTGTAAATATTCAAACTGTTCATGCCATCAGAATAGCTGACAGTCCACAGCTCTGTTTGTCTCCTTATTCATTGTTTTCATTCAAGTTCTTCTACTAATTGGTATTTAATCCATTTCAGTTTCCTTCTTTTCAAAGCTCCAGGATTATCTTCAGTATATGTGTCAACTGGTTTCTCTTTTCTTCATTGAAGAGGGTCTGTGTAGCTTGTCTATCTATTCCACTATCTTACTGGAAGTGCTCTGTCAACTCTCCATAATGATTCAGTGTCTTTTCAATTTACTTTAAAGTGTTGAACTCCCTGTCTCAGCTTCTCATGGCTCCAAGGGGCCCAGGACACCATTACTGCTCTCAGCTCTTGGGCTGACTGCTCTCTAAGAAAGAAGGGCAGTGGGGTACAGCAGTTAAGAGCATGGACTCTGGGGCCAGGTTAAAAACCTAAACCAAACTAGTTGCTGTAGAGTTGATTCTGCCTCATGGCAATTCCATATGTGTCAAAGCAGACCTATGCTCCACAGGGTTTTCAAGGAAGATTTTTTGGAAGTAGATCACCAGGCCTTGCTTTCTAGGTGCCTCTGGGTGCATCTGAACCTCCAACCTCTGTGTTAGTAGCCTAGCACTTAACTATTTGCATCCCCTATAGACTGGAGCCAGGTTACTTGAGTTGAAATCCAAAATTTTTATTTTGGGAAAATAGGTAGATGGTGGCTTTGCTACCAACACAGATGTGACCTTGGACAACTTCCCTGTGCCTCAGTTCTCCCATCTGTAAAATGAGGAATAATAATAGAACTGATCTCACAGGGCTGCTGTGAGGAGTTGATGAACCTTGGTTGAAGCATTTAGAACAGAGCTTATCACAAAGTGTGTGTCTATTAAATAAATGAAGAGGTGGGGCAAAAACTGTCCCTTTAGGGGTGAGCAGCCTGCTTCTCTCTCTTTTAATGCATTATATTTTAACCACAGCCTCTGAAAATAATGCACTGACCCTTGCTGTCTATGCAAAGGCTCAGCAAGGGACAGGGAGCAGCAGTTGGGCCATGTGGGGCATGGATGCCTAATCAGTGTTGGAAACTAGCTCCCAGACAGAACCAACAGGAGCATTCAACCCTCCCAGTTCAGCAAACATTAAAAGCATGGTCTTCTGTAACAACTAGTTACAAATGCTTATTGATTCAACAATAAATAGATATTAACAAGTAGGCTACAATTCCAGCTTCTGCAAAGACTAAGCCCCCATCAGCGAGTGTGAGCAGGTTTCAGGGCCCAGGTTTGACCCTGAGTTGTTGCTGCTCACTCAGTGGTCATTTTGCTCTCTGCTGACAGGTGAGAGCCCAGGAGGCTCATAGTGGGAGTCAGACGCAGTAGCATTTGCTCAGCTTGCACTCATGAGTTCCATGTCTTTCCAAAGCACTTGGCAAAAGATTCTTCTCCACAGACTCATAACTCCTCCCTTTCACCTGTGCAGAAGGCCTCAACCTGCAGGTATCCATGATGTACCAAATGGCTGAGGTCAGCTATGGTGAGTGCCTCTTGCCAGGCTGCCTGAAGGGAGAGAAAGCACGCAACATGGGCAGGAGAGAGGAAGCAGTGGTCTAGGAAAGATGGGCGGTGTGTGTGGGGGCGGTGAGACCCTTAGAAGGACCAGTGAGCAGTCAGCATTCTCTGAAAGGACAGGAAGGAAGCAGATCAGAAGCGAAACTTATCTCATGTTTGACATTTCCCTTTTCCTTTAGTAAAGGAAGGAGTTAATACAAAACCAAAAAACTGCCTCCTGTCAAGCACCCGCATAGGCTGAAAACCCGCATTGCTATCTGGCAATGAGAATGGCTGGACGGTGGAGAATCTAGTCTGAAAGACTGGAGGACAGCATCCTAGACTGAGAGGTCTGCTGGTACGAGTCCTATTTTGAAATGCCACTGTTGGTGCCCATCCTGGTCAAGGTGAGGGATGCAGCATTGGCCCACACCTGCCCACCTAACCTTCATTCTCACAGACTAGTCTGGGGTGTCGACTCTTCAGCGCGACCCTAGCCCTGACAGGGAGGCAGGATCCCCCTGCCCTGCCCTATGCACCTCCCTACACCCATAGACCCCACTCCCCAGTCAGGACCTCTCACTAACGCTCAGCACCTCTAGGTTGTAGGTCTGTTTATGTTCTTATTCTGGGGGAATTCAAGGAATCTTAAGTCAGTATTTTAGGAGCTTTGGGGTTTAGAAAACTTGTTACTAGTCCTGCTTTGAGTCCACACAGTCAGTTGAGAATACATATTGAGTGTTCAATAAATGTGTTCATTTGTTTATTCAACCTATCATTACCTACTGAGGTCAAGTAAGCTGAGGTCGGGAGTACATGGATGATGCAAAAGATTACTCGCCCCACTCAGCCTGGCAATCTGTTTCTGAAAGGTCACAGCCTTGAATACTCTGCCCAAATGGAGTCATCATGAGTCCCAACTGACTCCACAGCAATTTTTTTTTCTTTTTAAAGATGAGAGCTGAAGAACATCTGTTGGATAAATAAATCTACATTTACTATTTATTATTGTTCTCCAGAACATTTTATCATTACTATGGTTACCCACTCTGGTTGATGTGACTGTTGATTCAGTGACGGCAGGCAGGCACCACGCTGCTCTTCCCAGCACATGCAGTTCACGGTGTCTGCATACAATGGTTACTGAAAATATGTTCTTTGAAGAAGTAAAGTAAGGAGTAGGTGTCATGTCTTCAGAGCCTGCCAGCTATCCTGTTCTGTCAGCACTAGACCCTGCCTTGGTCTCACCAGTCCTAAAGATTGATCTTGCCTACAGCTCCGCCCCAATGCTGGGGCCACCCAGGCTGCCAGATTGCCATCTGCCCACCTAGATTGTCCTGTATGACTCGCCTTCCCTTCCTGTTCCTGGCCATCTGTATTTGCTGCCACCCACCACCTGTCACATCACATTTTTCTGAAATCACTGCTTGCCATTGGGCTATCCCCAGGGTCAGCCCACCTCTCAGTGTCCAGCCTCCAGATCCTGGCTCTCCTGGGCCAGCCATTCCCTTTGTCACAAGCTCTCTGCTGCCTATCCTGAGGTCAACCTGTTTAGGTTAGAGCCTACAAATCATCAGTTAACAGGTCAAGTCCAGCCTGGACTTGTTTTGTTAGGCCTGTGTAGTGTTTTGAAAATTTGGAGATTTAAATCTGTGTTTAGAGCTTTCTTGAAAGATAGGAAAATCTGGCAAAAAGAACCTGGGCTCTCCATGATCACCACAGAGCAGCATTGCAGTGGTTGTCCCTTTAAGACAGGGTAAATGGCTCTCCCATGTGTCATTGTCCTCACCATGCCCAGCCACTACAAGCTTAAGGACTCAGGCCCAGTGAGGGTATCTTAGAGATTCCCGGTTTTAGGATCAGAAAAGGTGATGCTACTACCCAACAGTTCTTGGCTTCAAGCTGCTTCCTGAGAGTGAGATGGAAACTCTCTTTTATTGTTTCTAATTCTGTAAGTTGGTTTCCTCCCAGGGTGCAGCCACTGGTCAATTCCCTGCATTCCTGGGACAGAGCTAATCCCTGTTTCCTGAACCCCCCAGGCCAAGTCCCAGGATCCTGGGGGCCAACAGGTAGGGGTTGGAGCTGCCTTACTTGGAAAGTACAAGTCTGTTGTTGGTAATGCCTATGACAAAGATCTCCTAGTGGGCTGCATTGAGCCACATCTCACAGCCAGCATCATCTACAAGTGGACCAACAACCTGAGGAGACCCAGAATAGACATGTTCTTACCAGATAAGCAGCCTGGCCCTCCTTGGGCCTGAATTGGACCCAGGCAGTCTGACACAAGATCCTGTCCTTATTAACCATTTGTCTCAAGTATCCCCAGAGGTGAAGCAAGGGGAAGTTACCTTAGTATTTGGGTCCCTTTCAATCTTCTAGAATCACTGCTTCTGATAACCTTATGGAACAGAATGAAATTAACCAATTTCTTAAGATTTTCTTAAGGCCCCCCACTCTAGCTATACCCCATAATCAGTTCTCAGAGGCAGAGAAGAAGAGTAGTAAATTTCCCTTCTAGAAATGTACCCCAAATCTTTCACATCCTAAGCATATACAATTGTCATTTTTCCCCAAGCAAAGAGATAAGATGGATTATATAATGGTGAAAATATAGACCAGAAACCTAATCAAGGCCTAAAAAATTCAAGACTCAAATCTCTGTGCTGAAAGTCTTCAATCTTTCTAAATTGAACTGAGCCCTCTGTTAAAAATAAAACAAATAGGTATAAATACAATTTTTCAAAAAGTTAAATGATGACACTAGATTTTGCTTTTCCAAAGCAAAACCTATTAGCAAAACTCATTACTTTATAAAAGGATTCATCTCAGAACTTCTTTAAAGGATGAGCACATTTGAATATAACCAATACGTAGACTAGCATTTCAGTGCGGGATGCTGTCTGAAGCTGGTTTTCAGTGTGTGACTTCTCCCTACTCCTCCCAACTCACCACCCTGGCCTCTCTCCACTGGCCAGGCTCTCAGCAGGTCCAAGGCTGAGGCCTTGGCAGAGCTTCCTGGAGGAGTTAAAAATAAGTTTGTGAACTGGAACAAAATCATACAAAGAGAGACCCAGAGAGCAATGGGCCAAGGTCTAAAGTGGAATCTGGCATAGCCTGATAAAATCTTCTCTGTCTCTCAAAGCCATGTATTTGGCCTCCAAATCAAAGCACAAAGCCTGGATATTTCAACAGACCTCTCTGGCATGAAACAGAAGCAGCCCCAGCCTCTCTGTTATATTTGAAAGATGCTCAGCAAAGGAAGGGAGAAGAGTTTCTGATATTAGAAGTAGAAAGTGCAGCCTGCTTCAGCAATTGGCTGCAATTGTTTTTTGTGACATTGCCACGATGGTGTCTGGTGATGTTTCTGTCTGATTTGGAGAAAGGATATTTACTTTACTCAAGACATTTTTGTAACATTTCTTCTGAACCTGCCTTCATAGCCATACAAGAATATCACTCTCATCTTTTATAGTCATCCTTCACTTTTACAGCTTTTCATTTACCAAAAATGATATTACTCAGTTTTATCACCCACTGTAATCATGCTTGGCTTCAAAGAGCCCTTAACTGTCTCAGTACCACTGAGAAACAATAATAAAAGCACAATGGTAACAATAAAGTACATATACCCTGCGCTGGGCATTGTTCTGAGCACTATACAACATTATTTCATTTAGTCTTCACAATCCTGTGCACTGAGCACTACTATCGTGAACTCATTTCACAAATGAGAAGAATGAAGCAAAGACAGATTAAAGTAACTTAATACAAGTTCCTTAGCTAGTAAGAGTCACTGAATTAGCATTCAAATCTCAGCCACTTGATTCCCAAATTCATGCTTTTAACCACTGTTACAGCGTTTTTAAGAAGTAAGGAGCTCTGGTCTTGCAGTGGTTAGGGCATTTGGCTGCTGACAAAAAGATTAGTGGTTTGGACCCACCAGCCTCTCTGCAGAAGAAGGACGAGAAAGTCTGCATCCATAAAGATTTACAGCCTTGGAAACCCAATGGGGTGGCTATGAGTTGGAATCTACTCAATGGCTGAGCTTGGTTTATTATTATTATCTTTAATACTTAATATTTTATTTTAATTTTATTTTATTTTAATATTTTATTATAGGTTTCACACACACACACACACACACAAAAGTTTATTGAAGAAGCTTGAAGGGCTGGTGAAGTAGAGAGAGGAGAGTGGGGTGACACCTCTCCCCTTACCCCACCTAGTGCATAGTTAACGGATATGAGCACCTGACAGCAGCCTTCAAGAGGGCAGGGTCTGGACCCCATAGCACATGTTGTCTGGAACAGCAAAGTCTATCTGCTGAGGTTTGGGCAAGGTTGTCCATAACCTTGATAAACTCCTCACAGCTGACCCCAGTCACTGAGGCGCCGAGGACTCGGCAGCCTCCCCCTGGAACCCCTCGCTTCTGGCTCTCTGTCCCCGCCCCCGCCTTCCGCAGGCTGTTTCTACCAAGGAAAGGGAATCGCTGTTCAGAACCTCCACTCTTTCGACCCCTTTGCCGATGCAAGTAAGGGTGATGACCTACTTCCTGCTGGGATTGAGGATTATATCCATATAAGAATTCAATAGAGAAACGGCAGGAAGTTCCTTACTGTACAAGGGATCGCTGATGATTACGATAAAAAGAAATCAGTGAAGGCCTTTAAGAAGAAATTTGCCTGCAATGGTACTGTCATTGAACCTCTAGAATATGGAGAAGTAATTGAGCTACAGGTTGACCAGCGCAAGAACATATATATGCCAGTTCCTTGTATAGGGTGCACTGGCTAAGGACGACCAGCTGAAGGTTCATGGGTTTTAAGTGCTTGTGGCTCACTGAAGCTTGAGTGAGGATTTCCTTGCAATGAGTAGAAAATTTCCCTTCTGTCCCTTGTCACAAGTTTAAAACCTGCAGCTTGTATAATGTAACCATTTGGGGTCCACTTTTAACTTGGACTGTGTAACTCCTTCATGCAATAAACTGAAAAGAGCCATGCTGTCTAGTCTTGAAATCCCTCATTTAAACAGAGGTCAAGCAAAAGGCGCCAGCAGTGCCCAGCCTGAAACAAGGCAGTAACGAGATGTTTCAGCCAAGCTCGGACTCCCAAAATCACAGATGGCTATGTCTGGCCAGAAGTTCCCCTGTCTAAAAGAGCATCACCTACCACCTTAACAGCCCTTGGAGGAGCTGAGAGGATGGGGTGAGGCAGCAGTCCGCTAGAGGGAGGCTTTGGTAGCAAAAGAATGATCCCCTGGTGTCTCCCAACCTGCCAAGGTGGGCAGAGCTTAGGAGAAGGCACCTTCCCTCTAGTGAGGTGGCAGGATATCTGGTTTGTAGTGATAACTGCTTTGGAAACCCAAGGAGGGGTCGCTATGAGGCAGAGATGACTTGACGGCACTTAATAACAACAACAACCCAATGTCTTTATTCTTTTTGACCAGACATATCCTAGCTAAAAAGAAGAGAATAAAGAATAAAGATGTTGGGTTGTTGTTCTTTTTGACCAGACATATCCTAGCTAAGGGAGCTCTGGTAGCATAGTGCCTAAGGCACTTGACTGCTAACCAGAAGGCTGGCGGTTCAAACCCACCAGCCACTCCTCAGAAGGAAGATGGGGCAATCTACTTCCATAGTGATACTGCCTTGGAAACCCAAGGAGGGGTTGCTATGAGTCGGGTCCGACTCGACAGCACATAACAACAACAACATTCTAGCTAAGGGCTGTCCAAAGAACACCAGAATGTGAGGCCAATCTAAGTTAAACTTTTGACAAGGGAACAAATTTCAAGCTGATGTATCTGACATGTAGCTAGCCCTGCAGCTTGCAACTTACTAGCAACAGCTGCCCAATGTCATATGAAGTACAACTGGGTTCCTTTTTTGTCTCCCCCCCCCCTTCAGTTTTAATGTTATGTAATGTATTTAAACTCTTATTTAAGTAAAACTTGTTTCCAGGAAAAAAAGAGAGAAAGAGAGAGAGTCCAAAAATTTTTGAGAAATGTCAGCATACTTAGAGAAAGCATACACCTGTTTTGAAAAGGTATCCACATAAAAACATACTTTTATGTGAAATTCTGATACTATTGTTTAAAATATAGGGCACACTGTCTTATACATCAACAAAATCTTTGATATTAAATTATATTATCCATTGCTTTTACTCCCCTGCAAGCTCTGTGTGGTTTTATATAGAAGATAATCTAAATCCATTTTAAACTTTTTTGTTTTCAAAGAAAAATAATATCAGCAGCCTTTTAAAAAGATCCTTTTTAAAAGTTCTGTCAACAGTAAAATTTTATATGCCTTGCCCTTGGGTAAATATTATAAAGTTGGTTTTCTGCTCACAGGACTTAAAGAGGAAAACCAAAGTTTTAACTGCATTCCTTCCCTCTGTGCCTCAAAGGCAACACAAAGCACACAGGAAACATGAATATATGTCTTGTTGTTGTTATGTGTTGTCAGACTCATAGTGACTCCTCATTGGGTTTCCGAGGCAGTATCACTACGGAAGTAGATTGCCCCATCTTCCTTCCGAGGAGTGGCTGATGTGTTTGAACCGCCAGCCTTCGGGTTAGCAGTCAAGTGCCTTAGGCACTATGATACCAGAGCTCCTAATATATGTCTTATCAAATATAAAAATATTAAGTGAGATACTCTTTGAATTGCAAATCAGTCAATAACTTTGTGTGTGTGGACCTACTATGTGCCAGGTGTCACACATCATGAGAGGTAGCAAAGTGTAGAGGTTAAGAGCATGGGCTCTGCAGTCAGACAGTCTTAGTGTGAAATGAGCTATGCCACATACTAATTAGGTGATCCTGAAGAAGTTTCTTAAACTCATTAGCCTGTTTCTCCATCTGTAAAATGGGGATGATAATAGCACAGTCATAGGAAGATTAAATGAGATAATCCACAAAAAGCACTTATCACAGTGCATAGCCAAGATAAGCACTCACTAATTATTATTATTAAGAAATATATAAAAGGCTTATATAGATCTTATTCTCAAGTAGTTTACATTATCACAAATAACTGTAATGGGAAGCAAAATATTCTATATATCCTACAAATAGAAAAATGTATTAATGAAACTTTTAGAACCAATACTCATAATACTGCCAGAGTAAAGTGGAGGAGTGATGTCAGTGAAAATGGTAGAACAAGGGACCCATGTTTCCACAGAAACACCTAAAAACAAAAAGAACCTATCAGAATCAACTTTATTGAAA